ACCTTTAAGAGAATCGTTTTGAATCAAAATATAACGTTAGAATCAAATAAAACACGTAAGACTAAGAGCTGAGACACGCCCATTCACATGTAAACAAACTTTTTAGCCACATTAAAAATGGCCGCCAACAAACTCAAATGTGTCCGTGTCACAGAACCTCGTACGGACTCTAGTTTAAAGAGGGGTAACTCTATGGCAATACCTCACAAGACCAGTGGGACCGGTTTGATGCGTGACGCCTGGCTTCACAGCACAGCACAGATCACATGGCATGTCCTGAAATCGTTTGTCACGGGCCATGCGTTCACTGAGATTTGAGATAATGTAATATAATATAAACGCACAGCAATAATCCCACCGAAAACAGCCACGTCGATCAAATAATAAGGGAAGAATACAAGGTCCTCAGCCAGATAACGTGTTACACCATCATGATAAACGGATCAAGGACAGATACATTCACAAAGATCTGGCAACACGACGTCAAACACTGGCGAAGAAAATCATCGCCCTGGAATGGGCACACTCAGCCCCCGTTTGTTTAAGTGGGTGACATCACAACCGCGAACTCTTATACTAAACTCGCACAAAAAAGTCAAGGGACAAAAATTCAAAGAAAGATTACTGAAAAACAGTTTAACTGAATTTATTCATTTTTTCACAAAAGATGCTTTCGACTATGTAGATTAAATGTGAACAATTTCACATTTCAACAACAACGAGAAGTTTATGTAAAATGAGTTTAAGTCATACTGGTCGGATTTTAAAAGTCTGAACAGCCAAAGTTCTTCCTGAACATTGTCAATAGTGGATGTAGCCACTTCGTTTGATCAAAAACTCGGCACAGCGTCGATGCTGGACATGCTTTCGGAGAACTTGTTGGGGTAGGTTCTGCACTCCTGGACAAGGTAGCCCAAGAGTTGTTGACGGTTTTGTGCAGGAGGGTGATTGTCCCTTATCCACCGGTCAATGTGATCCCAAATGTTCTCTGTTGGGTTCAAATCCGGACTAATAATAATAATAATAAATAACATTTATACTGCGCATTTCCATTTCCTAAAAGATGCTCAATGCGCATTACAATGAAAAAGACATCACATCTTAAAAATTAATCGACACAAATGTGTACGTAAAACAAAGTATTATACATATAATAAAAATGCATATGTGTAAAAT